CGATTCTTCTACAGTCGCACATTCCCTGTTAGGACTTCGCGATACAATGCAAAAAAAAAAAAAAAGATCAATCGAGCAAACCGCCTGAGCAACTTTCCCTGTGCTTCGCCTTAACCCAACGACACACAGTCGGCGAACGATCGGCGAAACAAGCAATCCGAGTGTTTACAAGCTTCTATCGCGGCATGCTCTCACCGGTGTACCACGTCAGCTACTGGCTGGTAGCAATCTTGACCCGCGTTGTTTTCTGGGTCCTCGACCTCAAAGCCCGGAATCTCTTGTCAACGGCCCAATATCTCACAGTCCCTCTGGCTCTCGCAACGATGTACTCCTCCTGTACATGGCACCTACGCGTGAAGCATTCCAGACTGGCCCTCTACACCCACCAAGTGGCTGTGGTATCTCTACTTGTAGCCATTGGCTCGTTCGCCGACCACTTCCAGGTTCCCGGCGATAGATCATTAAAGCCTACCGCACTGATTCATGTCTTAATGGCCTTTACAGTAATTGGTTTTCTGGAGTCACTCCGCCAAAACGTACGTAAAACCCCTCTCCATCTACTCCAATGTTGTATGCTGACTACCGATAGCGACACGATATTGAGCCGACCACATATCTCTTACTACACAACGGACCAAGATCCCAGCTTCTAAGATATTCCTGGTGGCACGTCACTGCCTGGCTCGCTTCCGCCCTTATCTGCAATGCAATACTTGTCGCGATACTTGCGTTCACAGAACACATGCTGAACAGGGCAGGGTGCATGTCCCTCAAACACGTCATACCTTATTGGGGAGGGGAGAAGATACACGCGTCAGAGCGTGTGGGCAGTGCCATAGCCGCCCATTTTCTCGGTGGTCCATTCGCCGACATGGCTGAGACGGTACGCACTGCTGGCAGCCTTTGTGGAGCTGACGTTATGGTAGGAAGCTGATTATTCTAGATATTCTACATGCTCTGTCGCAGATTTATTCCACACCTCAACGGCCTACATGGGTGGTTGCCCAGACGCATGCCGCTGATCGACTTGGCCGGTCCAGTTCCCTTTTTTAACTCAGAACTAACATTGACCGCGTTTTACTGGATCTTTCGAATTCTTCTTCTTCACAGAGGTCAGACCGGGGGTTCGTTGTGGTCCGCAGGGCCTGTAAGTGGGGTTTTCAGTATATTGGGGGGATAACCTGCTAGTCAGATCGGTGACATATATTGCCCGAGAAGCCAAGTCGAAACCGGAGGCGGGCCGCACTCGCGATTGTATCGGGAGGTTTTGGCCTGCGGACTGGAGGTATGGGACACATGGTTAGGTAGCGAATGGTCGGTCAACTGCAAAGACGGAGGTTTCCGACGGGTTTCCACGCTATCACTTGTGATTGCTTATGGTGCAAATGCCTCAGAACGTCTCTTGACTCGGTCGGCAGCTACAGCCAACAACAGGATTCATTCACTGAGGGCTGGTTATTCAAAGCAGAAGGAAATGAAGGGTCGTTGGAAGTTAGATCATTACTGAAGCTCGGTTTTGGGTCAGCAAATACAAGATGGGGATGTCGAACCAGGCATGGCATGTGAAGAGAGCGACCATCGTGTGCTGAATACACCTGCGCATCGCCGCACTTATCGTCCCCTTGAACAGGCCGTGGCTGATCCATTATCTTCTCGAGATACATGGCATTCGGATCAATGTCATGCGATGTCAGTTGAGAAACCTAGCTATGTCTGACCTGTTGAAAAGACCTCAATGTCCATCAGTTATGGCGCATACATCTGAATCAATGCACAGGCACGATTGATGACCCGTGTGACTGGCTCGGTATATGAATAGGATCAGATACCGAGGATTTGGTCGTCTGTGCTCTGGCCACTCCAGCTGGCTTCGGAAGCAAATCCAGATGCTCGGAAGCAAATCAGAGAAAGTTACAATGGTTAAGGAGGATTCGCCGAGATCACCAATAGCGTCGTCGTGCCAAGGGAGCTCAACCAAGGCTGGAACTTGCAAAGTGGAGTCGCGGGGTACACCTCACCGAGACACCCTTCTCCCATGGTCTCATAACGTGGGTTTTCTTCCCGTCTGGTCTCCCCAGTCCTCGAGTCCGGGGAAGCTAGCGGGGAAGTTCTGGCCGAGCTTGTCTATTCACGGGTGCTCTCTGAAACGACTCAATGGACCTCTGGCATATAAAGCATTCCTTGATCTCGGGTCGACTTTGTCCATCTCCACCATTGTCCTGCCAGCATCGACAGCATTGTTGACACCAAGTCAGCAAGCTACCCAGCCCCTTGTAGCCCCCAAGATAATCCATCATGGCGACAGCCGAGTCTAAACTCGATGAGCCCGCCAAGGGAGACGACATTCAAATGGTCGAACACCGCGACGACCAGGTCCACGGACGCGCCATTCAACAGCAAGAGCACAATCGCACCTGGGGACAAACCCTACGTAAAGACCCTCGGCTTCTCTTCTGGATCGGCGTAATGCTTTGGACATTGATCGTCCGAGGCTTCGAGTCGGGCGCATCGGGCGCCCTCATTAGCATTCCCGTCTTCAGGAGGCGATTCGGAGTTCTCATCGAGGGCACCTACTTCATCTCGACCAAGTGGCAATCCATCATCAGCGGTGCGCCGAACGGAGCTGCTATCGTGGGCGCCTGGGGTGCCTCTTTCCTGGCCGATAGGTACGGCTCCAAGCCTATAATCCTGCTGGCCGCCGTCATCAACATCGTATCTGTCGGCATTGAATTTGGGGCTACATCTCTCGCCATGTTTTTCGTGGGCAAGATGTTCAACTTCTTGGCTATCGGCGCCCTGCTCAACCTTTGCACCGCCTACATTGCCGACGTTGCCCCGCTGGCCATCCGAGCCTCTGCCATCGGATTCTGCAACCTGTCGCAATGCATTGGGCCATTCATCGCGGCCATCATGTCCAACTACACGGCCAAGTGGGATACCGATTGGTCCTGGAAAGCCCTTGTCGCTGCGCAATGGGGGTTCGCCGCGGTGGCACTCGTTGGTCAAATCTTCATGCCGGAGTCCCCTGTCTACCTAGTCCGCATGGGCAAAATGACGGCCGCGCAGAAGTCTCTGGAACGCATGTACTCGGATCCGCAGGATGCCAAGGGCCATCTTCACCGAATCAGCCTGACGCTCGAAGAAGCCGAACTATCGAACACCGGTTCATACATTGACTGTTTCCGGGGCACCAATCTCCGAAGAACTCTGATCTGCATCATGGTGTTCCTCTCCGAGCCCATGGCCGGTCTAGGCTTCGTCGGCAGTTACGGCGCTCTGATGTACCAATACCTGGGTATCTCGGATCAGAAGTCTTTTGAGATCAGGATCGGCGCAGAGGTCCTGTCCATGTCCGGTGCCACCATTGCATTTCTCATGGCCGATTGGTGGGGTCGCCGTCCGATGTATCTTCTTGGATGCATCTCAATCTGCATTCTCATGTTGTGCATGGCCATCTCCGGGTCTTTCGATACAACAGCCGCTGTCACAGCATCCGTGGGTTTCTACACCATGTTCAACTTCTGGTACAATGTTGGCGTTGGTTCCACGGTCTACGCCCTCGCCGGCGAGCTTCCAACATCGGTTCTCCGTGCCAAAACGCTCGCCATTTCCATCTCGACATCTAACGGCGTCAATACGTTTTGGGCGTTTATTAGCCCCTTCATGTTTAATCCGGATTACGGCAACCTGAAGGCCAAGATTGGCTTCGTGTTCGGAGCGTTCATGTTCATTTTCGCGATCCTCGCGTACTTCTTCGTGCCCGAAACGCGCAGGCGAACGTACGAGGAGCTAGACGAGCTCTTCATGAAGAAGGTGCCAACCCGCCAGTTCCGCAAGTACGTGACCGTGGCCGAGCAGCGTGCCGCCGAGGCATACGCCGTGCAAGAGAAGATTGCTCCGGATCTGAAAGTGTGAATATCTTCCATTATGGAAAGGAGGTGGCTCAGGTGTACTGCTGAGTCATCGATGACAAGCCGCAACGCCATGGTTGGCGGGTGCTTGCCAGACTCAGACTCTCCTAAATAAAGTCGTAGAAGAAACATTACAATTGTACATCATACAACTGTCCTCTCCCAAGTGCTGTGTTAAGGCCCGTACGCTACTCCTTGTTGTTAGACGCTCCTCCACCTCTTCATGCCCCTGGTCCTGGCCACCGTCCGCCACGAGAAGATCAGCAATGCACCCCGCAAGGTCTGCCGTCTGACGTGGGATTAGCGGCGATTTCTTGGTCCATAGTTCACAGGGAGGCAAGTTGGGAGTGAACGTGGACGTTGACCAAAGCGGCGGGAGGGTGGGGGAAACGTGCCGAGCACCATCGACTGCGTCATGCGCATCTTTGCTTCCGAGAAATAGTTCCGAATAACCCCGCAAAGAACCCTAAGCCTCATGTACAAAAAAGCCGACGTCCCCCAAAAGCCGACGTCACCCCTTGCTACCGTGAAAGAAACTCCGAGCGCACCAGCTTCGTTTCGTCTGGCCGTACCCATTCCATCCCCAATGTAAAGTTGATCGCCGCATCAATGCCCCGCCAGCATGGCCGAGACGACTGCACCCAGGTCTCCCCGCAATCTGAAGGCATGCGATACATGCCGGAGCCGCAAGATCAAGGTGAATATGCCGAGACCTCGCTCTGAGTTCTCCCATGTCGCGGTCTACTGATGCGAGTGAAATGGCAAGTGCCACTACCCTGTAGACGATACAGTATGCCGAGGATGTCGGTCATCGGGCACTAGTTGTACCCAGGAGAAGATCAGGCGCAAGAGAGGACCGGCCAAACGGTACGACTACTATCCAGTAATGGCGAGCTCCATCACGTTTCGCTTGGCAGATCGAATCCGAAGATCCTAACCCGCTGACCTGCACCAGCTCTACCCTGCGACACACGGCGAGAGACGAAGCTGCGACGACATCGCCAGCTTCATCCTCGAATGCGCCCTCGATACGGCGACCGACAGTCGGTTCGCCCTTTGGTTCTCAACACGCCGTGTCATCACCTTCCGTGGCAGACATCAACAGCCAGGCCTCCCCAACAGTCGTGGCGGGAGGCCTCGACTTCCACGGCTTGTGTGCTCGCTCGCTTGTCTTGTCGATCCTCACCGACTGGTCGCGCTTCGTCTGGCCCCTCGCGTCACTGTTGCACAAGAAGCGATTTCTCCGACGGGTTCTCCAACGCGAAGATGAGAGGAACCCGACGTTCTGCGCTCTTGTGCTGTCGACATGCGCCGTGACCGTCACGACTCTCCGACGGAACAGCTTCCACAAGTACCGCGGCGTCACAGTCGCCAAGTGCATCGGTCTCATTGAGCAAGGGCAGATGCTGCAGCGGCCGGCAGCGTACACCCTCGACTGGTGCATCTCGTGCTACAACGTCGCCTCGTCGCTGCACGCGCTCGATGGCGACGCCGAGCTGCGCGTCTATCAGGCCATCAAAGACGCCATGGCTGGTGTCCAGTGGCTTCTCTTCTGCGACGGCGAACGGGAGACAAGGCCTTTGCATGACCAGGAAATGCTGAAGCGGCTTTACTGGCTCATGTCCATGTGGCAACTGTACTGGAGTTTGTGAACCCCTTTTTCACCGTGGTGAAGACGCTGACACCCTTTCCAGGGCTGCTGAACTACGAGGCGAACCATACCTGAGCTACCTCCCCTGTCGATCGTTCACGCAAATATTGGAGACGATGCGACCTTTGCCGTTGTCCGATGCCGAGCTTGGAGTACCAGAACCGGACGTGGATATACCTGTGCTCTGGCCAGGTGTGGAAGAGACCTGGATGAGAGACGACGAGCAGTACATCACCGGGCTCAACAGCCTCATCGATATCATGCTCGTGTGGGAAGATGCCAAGGTGGACATGACGCACAAGTCCCCGACCGACACGCTGAGAGAAGGCATGGCCCGTATCCAGGCAGTGCTGGACAGCCTCATCCCCGAACTGCGGTGGAGCGGGGGGTTGGCTAGGTATCCGCAGCCGTGTCGAAGTCACGAAGCGCAGACGGTCAATATCTTGATCACGAGCCTGTACTTAAGATCAAATCTCCTGCAGAACCTCGGTCAAATACCCGGCATAACGCACCAGGGCATCGTCAGGTCAGTTTCAATCCCCTGCATACTTGCGAAGCGCCCGATTCGCTACCGGTGTACTGACGCTGTCATGTAGTGACGTTCTTGAAATCTTGGAACATATATCAGAAGAGGTTCAAGAAGCCAACGGGTTCAGCCTGGTCAAAAAGGTTCGTGACATTGGCGCCGCCTATCTACAAGAGCTTCGAGTCACGGGCGACGGAACGATGCAAGCCGTAAATGAATCGGCACAGCGTACGGTCAACACTCTTCTTGCGCGACTCGAGAGGCTGGATTCGGGGTCAAGAGAGCGTGGATATTGAGTTAGCATCCTATATAATGTAGTATTTGTCAGGCCATTTTCACGCCTTCAGGGGTCAATAGTATTGTATGATTTGACAGACGATTGGAAAATATGCACATCCAAATCCTCTGAAGAGTGGCACGGTCACTTATGCGAAGGTTTACTCATGGCAAAGATGTCGGGTACCCCACACCAGCTATTGGAGAGCTGAACTCAAATTAGAGTTGACAGAATGGTGTACAAGTTTCGGATTTTCGTGGAGTTTTGATCACCAGCTTTGGCGAGTCGCCTCAAAGGGCAGAAAGGCAAACATCAAAGGACGATAGTATAACTGTATCCGAGTGTGACGCTACTATCGCTCCATTCTTCTAGAAGCCAACAAGCCTACTTTCGCCAATAGTGGTCGGTATGACCGAGGTTTTATTTGGCGACAGCATTCGATCCACACTACCCGCCGCCTGTTTCACCAACTTGCCTGTGACAAAAGAACAGCAACACGCCTTCTGGCATGCAAAATGTTGAACCCGATGCGTGAACTGGGAATCGAACCCAGGGCTCCCCGATGGCAACGGAGAATTTTACCACTAAACCATTCACGCTTCATTCGGAGGTTAAATGCCTCGGTGGATGCTGCTGGCGGTGGGCCGAGTTGGAGGGTTCATATGGACAAAAACAGCGCATGGCGGCGGGATGTGACGCATTGAAAGGATGAATTCGAAGTCTGCGAGTCAGTTCAGAGCAGAAGAATTGGACGGTATACAGTCAAGATCGAGCCAGAGTTTCAAGAGAGACATGCCTTCTTCTGACCATTGACGATGTAGATCTTAAGGAGCCGACTGTGCATTCATCTCAGGCCTTACGCCTGGCCTGTAGCAACAATCGAGAAAGCTGGGAACACTGTAGTATTTCAATTCTTGGTTCGCCACGGAGCGGGTGCCATCTGATTTACTTTCGTTTCAAACTGGAACGGCCACCTCGCTTTTCCCATACATTCGTTTGCATCGGGGAGAGACAAGACCAAAGAGCCATTGCCACAGTATGTTGTATGAAGCACTCTCGAGACGCCAGTCAAGGGACGCACGGCTTTGGACTTCCAAGCTCTCGAGAGCGATGAATCAATGTCGAGTTACTCTGTCACGCCATCCGATGAACCGATGTCGAGTCCGCGGTTGACCCGTCGTTCAAGCCAAGTGGAGGCCGTGTCACGACTGTGCATCCGGATATTTACTGAAACCTCTCAAAAACTCTGTTTATACTACCCTCTAGGCGAAAATCAACTGTTGGAAGCGTTCAGAGTCCATAAGAAGATAAGCTTACGCCAATGTAGTGATTCATGATAACTCTTCTGGCGTGCAAACGATAGAGTTTATTAATTTCGTATGTCTTTAGACGTTTCCTACATAGCAGAGCCATCGCATAACACAAAACACATTGTCATTGTGAATAAGGACGAGTTCGTTGGGGACTCGACAGTAGGGCCTCGCCGAAAATGAGCAAAATACAGTCAATGCAGGTGGAAAGACTGACAGGCTACAGCCCCGACTCGTTGTCACCGTTGTGAAATGCGAAAGTTGATCGCTCGAGTCATTGTGCTCGAGACGCGCCCGAGACGCGCCCGAGACTATAGATGGCCAGGCACTGCGGCCTAGAGTAAGGCGATCAGTATGGCAAACAATGCCACTCTATGCGCTGTGAGCGGCCTCCGGTTCCCCGTATACTGTCAAGCAAAAGTAACCTTCGAGGACATTCAGGTTGCTATCACGACTCAATCCTGCAGCACAATGTTCGTCATCAGCCAACAGCCAAAGGCTCCGAAGCCTGACTCGCATGCAAGTAAATGGCCGGGATCATGCGCAAGTATGCCATCCTTGGAGACCACGCGATGGTACCCCGTACTCGTCTTATGCACCACTTGGCAGGGCACGCAAGCCGAGATGAAATGGTGTATGGCTATGCTTTGGCGGACGATTCCCTCCTTCCGGCCCCTTGGAGGGTCTTCTTGGTGCAAAGGGATCGAGTTTTCACCCAGTCGGCTGACCAAGACAAAGACAGCCTCTTTACTCGGGTCTTCGAGCTCCATTGAGGAGGGCAGCAGTGTTCAGGGGATACCCCTGGCACCAATAGTACTAGGAATAGCCAATCTGGCACTCTATTTGATCGCCACACCGCTCACCAGCGAGACTTTCCTTCAGAGCAGAGAAACCCCCTCGGACAAGTTGCAGTGAAAGCGAGACCGACTATCGCTGCAAAGCCGTCGCCTGACCAGCCGACTACCGCCAACCCTTGCTTAGCGGTTGCTTCACGCTGCAGATACGATGAGCCAGAAGCCGTCGGCTCATGCATGCGAACCCCTGCCGAGGGCCCTGTTCGCCCGCGAATCCCCATTAGAGAAAGCGGTCGTCCTACCCCTATAGGGAAGGTCTCTCGCCAAGTCCTCGTGTTCGACAACCCTCCAAGATACCAGCGTCCGTACACCCGCGCCGTGGCGATGGAGCCTCCTGTGGTCTCCGGATATTGGGCATATTCGAACATAAATAAAAGACAAGGCGATGGGCCCGGCTTGAGGTCTGTCCTGATGTGTTTCTCCCGCCAGGCCACTTAGCCCTACATTCGTTCACCCTGAAACCTTTCGCGATGCGCTTCTCGCAGTGCGCTCCGCTTCTCCTCGGCACCCTGGCCTCGGCCGTGGGTGCGCTCGCCGACACTCCGGGTCCCAGCACCACGGCCGCCGCCGCCGATGCCGAGAGCACCAGCAACATCATCGCGGGCGCCTACATTGTCGAGCTCGACGATGCTTCGCCTGACGCCGAGTCTCTGTTCAAAGACCTCCGCGCCGATGGCCTCGAGGTGAAGCCGAGCATGGACCTCAAGTTCCGCCTCTTCAACGGCGTGTCGTTCCGCGTCGAGTCACCCGACTCGGTCGGCGCCGACGCCCTGACGGCCCAGATCGCAGCCAAGGGCGCCGTCAAGGCTCTCTGGCCCGTCCGCGGCATCCGCTTCCCCCAGTTCGACCCGGCCAACGCCGGACCTCACAACCTGTCGGCCTCGACACAACAGCAGCACCAGAAACGTGCGCTCGGCGACGGCGACGTCTACACGCCGCACCTCATGACGCAGGTTGATAAGCTGCGCGCCGAGGGGTTCACGGGCAAGGGTCTGCACATTGGCGTTGTCGACACGGGCATCGACTATCGACACCCTGCGCTCGGCAATGGTTGCTTTGGCCGTGAGGGCTGCCTCGTGACCAAGGGGTGGGACTATGCGGGCGACGAGTTTGACGAGGGCGGCAACCTCAAGCCTGACGATGACCCCATCGACACATGCCAGGGCCACGGCACACACGTCAGCGGCATCGTGGCAGCCCAGGAGAACGAGCTCGGCTTCACGGGTGCGGCGCCCGACGTGACGCTCGGCGTCTACAAGACGAGCGGGTGCGCTGGCTACGCGACGAGCGAGGTTCTCGTGGCCGGCATCTACCGCGCCTATGACGAGGGGGCCGATATCATTTCTCTTTCGGCCGGTGACGACTCTGGATTCTCGAGCGACGCCGCTGCCGACGCCGTATCTCGTCTCGCCGCCGTCGGCGTGCCCGTCATCGTGGCCACCGGCAACTCGGGCGGTCTCGGCCTGTGGAACGCGGCGTCTCCGGCCTCGGGCAGGGAGGTCGGCCGCCATCGGCTCCGTCGAGAACACCAAGCTGCCGACCATCATGACGAGGGGGTGACTTCACCAACGGCACCGGCTCCCACGGCTTCGGCTGGCTCCAGGGGAACCCCGTCCTCCAGACCAATGCGACGGTGCGTATCTGGGCGCCCGCCGCCAACGCCAGCGACCTGACGGCGTACGCCTGCACCTCTGTGCCCGCCGACTTGCCTGATCTCGACGGCCTCGCCATTCTACTCCCCCTTACCACCGAATGCAGCTCAGATGACCAGGCCGCCAACTTTGTCACCAAGGGCGGCAAGCACATCATCTACTACCCCGAGAGCGATGCCCGCCTGGCGGCCACCTATGTGTACACCGAAGGCATCGAGGGCGTCTTTGTCGTCTCCCCTGCCCAGGCTGCCGCGTGGCTCAAGGCCTTGGGGGCCGGCCAGCGGATCGACGTGTCTGTGAGCCCCGTCGAGTCGGCGCGCGTCTGGGCCGAGGACCTCAGCAACGGGCCCGGCGCCGGCCTGACGAGCGGCTTCACCAGCTGGGGTCCCTCGTGGGAGATGGTGCTGAAGCCGCAGTTCACGGCGCCCGGCGGCGGCATCCTGTCGACGTGGACCTGGGGCTCGGGCGACTACGCCGTGAACCCGGGCACGTCCATGTCGGCGCCGCTCGTGGCTGCCATCTACGGCCTCGTCGGCCAGGCGCGCAAGACGCTCAACGCGCAGGTCCTCCGCAACGTGCTCTCCAGCACGGCCAAGCCGCTGACCTGGTTCGACGGCGAGACGACGCACGACGGCGTGCTCGCGCCCGTGGCCCAGCAGGGCGCCGGCCTGGTGCAGGCCTACGACGCCGCCCACGCCACGACCCTCGTCGACACCAGCGGCTTCTCCTTCAACGACACGGACAGCTTTACGCCCAAGCGCACCTTCACCCTCGAGAACACGGCCGCCGAGGCCGTCACCTACACGTTTGGCCACGCCAAGGCCGCCACCGCCTACAGCTTCTCCGCCGACAACCTGCTCACCATCGCCCGCTTCCCGCCGCCGACGGCCGACGTCTGGGCCTCGATCGCCTTTGAGAGCGAGACCGTGACCGTCCCGGCCGGTGCCTCGGCCGAGGTCACCTTCACGCTGACGCCTCCCGCCGGACTCGACGCCGGCCGCCTCCCCGTCTACAGCGGCTACATCACCATCACACCCTCGACCCCGAGCGCCGGCCGTCTGACGCTGCCGTACGTCGGCCTCGCCGGCAGCCTCCACGACTTCAACCCCCTCCACAACCAGAGCGTCGCCCACACGGGCGTCTACCTCTCCTCGACCGAGACGCACTTCCTGATCCCCGTCGCCGCGAACCGCACCTTCACCATCCCCCGCCCCGGCGGCACCTGGGCCCCTCCGTGCTGCCCAAGCTGGTCGCCATCCCCACGATCGGCACCCCAGAGCTGCACGTCGACCTCGTGCCCCTCGACGGCAGCGGCAGCGACAGCGCAACGGCACGACCAAGGCCTGGCTCGGCTACACGACACTCGGCAGCCTGATTGCGAAATATCATGCAATGCCCCTACGATCGGGTACACGCACAACTTTGACGCCGCCTCGCCGACGGCACCGT